TAGGGTCATGACCTGTTAATTACAGTGTTGACTTGTCCTATCTCCAAACATTATGTACAATGTTAATAGGTAAGTCTGAATAAACAGAACCTTGTAGGGTCATGATCTGTAGATTACATTGTGTTGACTTGTCCTATCTCCAAACATTATGTACAATGTTAATAGGTAGGTCTGAATAAACAGAATCTTATAGTGTCACAATCTGTAGATTACATTGTGTTGACTTATCCTGTCTCCAAACATTATATACAATGTTAATAGGTAGGTCTGAATAAACAGAATCTTATAGTGTCACAATCTGTAGATTACAGTGTTGACTTATCTTGTCTCCAAACATTATGTACAATGTTAATAGGTAGGTCTGAATAAACAGAATCTTATAGTGTCACAATCTGTAGATTACATTGTGTTGACTTATCCTGTCTCCAAACATTATGTACAATGTTAATAGGTAGGTCTGAATTAACAGAACCTTGTAGGGTAACAATCTGTAGATTACAGTGTTGACTTGTCCTATCTCAAACATGTTCAAAATGTTCATGACCAGATTTTAATTTAATACATATCTTGTATTATATAGTAATTAAATTCTAGTTCTGTGATAAGCTTTTATGTAATTACATGTAAGCATGTTTATATACTAATGCCAGTCAAAACACTTTAGTGGACTGATTATTCTATGTAGAAACTTGTTATAATAATTTTTTTTAAGTTGGCTCTTAATCTATGTACTACTTAATATTTTCTGGTGTGCTATTAAATGTAAAAATATATATGCTTTGAATTATTCTAGTTTTCACTGTTCAGTGAACGTGTTGTTGTTGTCTGTGTCATGTAATTTAACCTATGATAAGCAGAAAAATGAATTTTATTGTTATGATTTCGTAAAGAATTGCTTCTGGTCTTACATTTTTCACATAAAGTAGACTAATTGTGTATTATCTTAGTTTAACTTGAATAAACTAGAACCTTTAGTCTGCAAGTATGACATCATTTTCCTTCTAATTGATCATATTAATTTTAATTACTGGGCAGAACTAGAATCGGTCACTAATGTGTGTAAAAAATTGATCGTATTAATTTTAATTACTGGGCAGAACTAGAATCGGTCACTAATGTGTGTAAAAAAATTGATCATGTTAATTTTAATTACTGAGCAGAACTAGAATTAGTCACTAATGTGTGTAAAAAAACATTAATGTAATGTTTTGAGTATGGAATTCACTACAATGAACTTTCAATTAAAGTTTGCAGTAAATCCAAGTATTTTTTTTTTTTGGCAAACTGTTTCCTTTTCTATACATCTTTAGACTTTTCTTACAGAAACCAATATGTCATTGTGATAGACCAACATCTTGCTTAAAACAAAAAAGAACAGAAATAAAGGACTTGAAATTTAAGGTTGCTAATTAATAATGCTATGCAGGTATACTGAATTTAAAAGTAATTCTTCTTTTCAATTCTTTCTACTACAGGTTATCCACCATTTTGTTCAGATACCCCACAAGAAACCTACAGGAAGGTTATAAACTGGAGAGAAACATTGATGTTTCCCCCAGAGGTACCCATCTCTAATGAATCTAAAGATCTGATTCAAGGGTTTTGTTGTGAAGTAGAAAGGAGAATGGGAAGCAAAGGAGAGTTAGAAGAAATTAAAGGACATCCATTCTTTAAGGGAGTAGATTGGGAACACATTAGGTAATGATACTTTATTGATATAATAACAGACAGTACTTTTGAAATGTAACTCCTGGTATAGAAAATTGTGAAACATCTCTAATGATAACGAATACAACACCATGAATTGGTAAGAACTACAATTTTAAGCTGTTATCAGCCTACCTACAATTCGTGGTTTGTTTCATGACTTTTGCTCATTTGGATGAATTACTGTAGAGCTGTATTCTAAAACAAATTTTAAAATAGCTGATTAACATTTTGAGACACAATTTACTACTGGAGAAGTAAAATATGGTGCTCCAACTTCTACCAGGAGTACTGGTCAAGAATTAGTTATTTTCATGGTATTGGAAAGTTCCATTTAACTCTGCTGCTCTGACTTCATGCACCTGTGGTACGGTTTGTTTGAAACTTCAGGGGAATTTTTCTAGAGATCAGGTAACTTCTGCAAATAAAACATCTCATTTTTATATGATATTTATAAGATTTGCAGCTTACCTCTCTTGTTGATTTTCATTCCTGATTTTGTGTTCCTACATTCCTGTAAAAGTTTCCTATTAAGTTTTTATTTTATAGAATTAAATTGTATCTTTGTTTTGAATAGAAAAACAAAGAACACAATTCCACTGTGTTTAGGATTATTGGCATTACACATAAACGTAACTTTTTACCTCAACCAAATTATTAGCAAACAAAATTTATTTTAATTTGCCAATCATGAGGTTTTATTTAATGTATGTAGTAAGTTTTAAATCTATATTACATTCATTAATTTATAATTTTTTTACGTTTATTTTTGATTATTTTCTTTGCCCATTCAAACAGTTGCTTAGCTTGATATGGCCTAATGCAAACAAAGCATAACACAGCAAAATGAAACGATATGGTTGTGTGCTAAGTGATTTAACAAAACACACCTCACCTCAAAAAAATTATTTTCTTACCATATTTCAACATGATAATTCAAATGATAAATTTTTGAAACTTTGAAAAAAAAATCAAGACTGTGTATTTGTAGCAGAAATTTACAAACATTTTCTTCTACCAGCATATTACCAAATGAAGCTTTTATCACTTTGTTCTGACTCCTGACTTTGTGCAGACCCCTGCTCAACTGAAAGTACTTTTGATTGTTACAGTTGAAATGAGTGGAAAATAAGCTTTCATGACCGTCTTAGATCACTAGCATATGACTTGTTTAAGCTGAGATACAGGCAATTACATCACATCATGACAACCAAGGTTTAGAAACAGCAATTGGCTAAAATTCAATAAAGTCACTTTTATTCATGCTAAAAGTGACAAATCAGCACTATTTTGTTTAAAACTATTAATACTTTCTCCCTAGGAGGACTATGAGTACCACATTTTGCTCAGGAAATTCGAAAAAACTAATGATTTTATTGGAAGCATAATGAAATCAACCAAAAATCTAAATTTTTATTTTTATATATAAACTAAGTAGATAAAACAATTTTATAAAATAAATTTCAACTCTGAAGTATTTTATTTTATGAATATGTGAAACAATGACTACAAGTTTACTTTATATGTTATTTAATTCAATGGTGTAATTTTGTCTGCAAGGTGGGATGCAACAATCAAAATGTGGTATAGTGAAAGTGCTAGAAGTGTGTTGTAGGTTTCACTAGAAATTTAACAGTATTTTCCATTGTCTATTTGTCTGCAGAGAACGTCCATCAGCCATTCCCATTGACATCAAAAGTATTGATGACACATCTAATTTTGATGATTTTCCTGATGTTGACCTACGGATTCGTGAGTAGAATTTTATGTGCTTCTTTATTGTGTAGATATTAGGCATGCAGTAATTTTCTTCAGAACTTTATTGCATAGATATTAGGCATGCAGTAATTTTCTTTGGAGCTTTATTGTGTAGATATTAGGCATGCAGTAATTTTCTTCAGAGCTTTATTGTGTAGATATTAGGCGTGCAGTAATTTTCTTCGGAGCTTTATTGTGTAGATATTAGGCATGCAGTAATTTTCTTCAGAGCTTTATTGTGTAGATATTAGGCATGCAGTAATTTTCTTCAGAGCTTTATTGTGTAGATATTAGGCGTGCAGTAATTTTCTTCAGAGCTTTATTGTGTAGATATTAGGCGTGCAGTAATTTTCTTCAGAGCTTTATTGTGTAGATATTAGGCATGCAGTAATTTTCTCGGAGCTTTGTTGTGTAGATATTAGGCATGCAGTAATTTTCTTCGGAGCTTTATTGTGTAGATATTAGGCATGCAGTAATTTTCTTCAAAGCTTTATTGTGTAGATATTAGGCATGCAGTAATTTTCTTCAGAGCTTTATGTGTAGATATTAGGCATGCAGTAATTTTCTTCAGAGCTTTATGTGTAGATATTAGGCATGCAGTAATTTTCTTCAGAGCTTTATTGTGTAGATATTAGGCATGCAGTAATTTTCTTCAGAGCTTTATTATGTAGATATTAGGCATGCAGCAATTTTCTTCAGAGCTTTATGTGTAAATTTCTTGAATCTATTAGATACAGGTGACACTGTTTTATATTTTAATTATTAGGATTGTGACCTGATTTGCAAAGATTTTATGGGTTATATGACCTGGATTTTAAAGATTTATGTATAATTATTCAGATCAAAGTTATACACATTACCATATCATACTGTTAGTTGAAAAATCACCTTAGAATTGGATGGTTTTTGTAACTTTATGCATGTTTAACTTATAAATAGATGAATAAGGTAACTATGTTAATTATGGTTTTGTGTCTGAACATGGCTTGACGACAGGAAAGTATTTGCTGGATAATTTTACCATAGTCTATCATTCCTTCACTTTGTTCTAATTACTTATTCATTTTGCCCAAGCAGCAGCTGCACCAAGCGCTTTGGAAGAATCACAGAAGCAGGAAGATAAAGACTGGGTCTTTGTTAACTACAGTTTCCGAAGATTTGAAGGTCTTACACAACGTTACAGAAACATAAAGAAAAGCTAATTAATTGTATTATATATATAACAAACTCAGGATCACAGTCATTAGTCATTTGAAGTTGAAGATCAGCTGAAACAAAGTTTCATGTTGCATGAACACCTTCTTTTTATATACTTGTGTCGTTGTGAATGGTGGCATATACTAAATCAAAGTTGATGTTCTGTCAGATAAACACGACTTCGTTTGTCCTATTTCCAAATTCTGAAGCTTTTATCAGAGTTTGAAATGCCCTTCATTATGGAGAAGCTGATAAGAACTATGGTAAATTTTAAAAAAGTATTTTTTGTGGTATTTTAGTGAGTCTGTAAGTGTATAGTACTTTAGTGAGTCTGTAAGTATATAATAAATATTAGGCCTAATCTCACATTATCACTGCCTGATTTTGTATGATAAAGTAGACTTTAACTTTACTGTGATCAATCACCGAGTTTAGCCAGGCATCTCAATATAACAAATCCACTATTAAGATCCCTGTTCACCATCTTTTTTTATGGACATATATGGTAATAATTGGCATAGTCGTGTAATTGGTCAAGTATTTCAGTCAATGTTTAAGCTCATCTGTATTATTGGTCATGCTATAAACTTTGGTAGTATAAATGATTAGATGTTTTTAGAAGCTCATCTGTGTAATTGGTAAGATCATATGTGTCAATGTAGTTGTTTCTAGATACAAACTCTTATTGTTTTAAAGTCCTTTGTTGTATGGTTAATCAGATGCTATCTACAATGATTCGGTATTGTTACTTGTCATAATATTTGCATATCTGATCATAATCATTATAGATTAAATGATAATACTGACTAATGAATCGCAGCAAATGAAAATCAAATAAATGGTTAATGCATGGATGGTCAGTTATAATAATCAGATTAAAAACACATTTAACCATCTTCCACTTGTTGAGTCACTAGATTACATTTTTTCTTTTTTTTACTGATCCCTTTTGGTTTGTTAATTAAATTATAACAGTGGTGGCTATATAGTTCATGAAAACTTAATATGATCTGTGTCCGTTTCTTTATTGTAAAATTTACAGTATTTGATATTGAATATAAACTTTCTGTTAAATTCTGTATTATGTAAACATCTTTAACTATCATTTCTAAAGATGGTGTTTTGCTCCAGAATTAATTGCTGTTGTTAGATAAAGTTTTCAAAATGTTCAAAGGTCAGAAGCGTGAATTATCATGATTTGAAGCTAAAAACAACAAATCATAATTTGAAAATATCTCTTCTCTACCAAAGAAAAAAAAATAAATGTATAGCTTTAGGTATTTCATTATATGTGTGAGAGAGATTCTATGATTATTCATAGATAAAGACTTGAACATATCAATAAAAAAAAGTATAATTTTAAAACTGTAGAAACTTGAGACATTGAAGAGATGAGTGTTCATTAATTATTCTATACATTTTAAGTCTACTTATTTAATATGGAAATTTGTATACAGTTAGTAAAATTTTATATATGTGAGCAAAGAGTGATGAGTAATGATAGAAAATACACTTCTTAGACATGCTGCCAAATCCAGTAAGAAAAAAATAAAAGATAATTTTATTCTTAGTGTTTAACTGTGGGACTTTTAGTGTCTAGTCATATAGGTTGGTTACGAGTTATTTTGTTTCAAAACCCTTTTTTACTTTTTAAAACATATAAACTCGATAGGAGACTTATGTACGCACAAATTTTCAAATGTATTCTTCACAATCTTTCAGTTTTCAGGTCCATTAAAAGTTTTAAAATATTTTTTACTTGCCAAGCTGCACAGGCTTCAAAAATACCTTTTACAATTTTTTTTCTCACATAAGTGGTCTTAAGAGCTTTAATGTTTTATCATGGTGGGATTCTGGGATTTCCTCTAGAAATGTAATTGTATTCTATTTTGTGTAAACATAACTAAGGGATTGTTTTAAAGAAGTTGTTAACAATATTGTGTAATTCCAAACTTTAGTGTTTCTTCTAGTACAAAACACATTGAAAAATAAACTTTATTTGAGCCTGTTTGCCTTTTTTCCTCTATTACAACAGATTGATAGTTGATATTTTGGGACAGTCTTGTGGATTTTCTCCTGTGAGTTTGATAAAAAAAAATGTAATGTTTCTTGTCCTATGTGTCCTCATCATTATTTAGGCACAAGGCAGTGAAACAGGCAAGGATTTTATTCTTTCTTATACAGACAGTATTTAAATATTTAATTTCCAAGTATGTGCAATACAAGGGAATGGTGTACAAAAGGAAGAATGTGGAAGAGAATTCTAAACATCTATTAAAAAAGGAACATGATTTCTATACCAAACTGATTTAAAAAATGTTCTAGTTTTTTTAAAAGTATACTTAGAAATAGTTTTTTCATTCAATGAGATGATAAACTGTTGTTGATATTTTGCAGTATATATATATATATGTTTCTTTCTCTTAATGTTGCCAGATGGAAGAAATATTAAGAAAATTCTTTGATACACAAGTTTGCTAAAAATTCACGTATTAAATCTTTAAACATCCTGGCATGCACTTGGAATAATTAAATTGAATAATTATGTCCATACCTAATTTTTACATTTTTTTCTAAATTATGCTATTTAGTTTCAAATTTCAATATGATCTAACTAGTAGAATAACCTTGGTAACAAAAAAAATTTTGTTTTTCCTTTTTATTAGAAATGGAAAATTTTTGATCAATACCAAATTGATGCAATTTAAAAGCCATATGATTTAATGATATTAATTTTATTTAATTAAATGCTTCACAGTATTACAAGTAATGAAGTGAGCCCTCTATTGACATTTTCTCTCTCTTACATAACGTCAGAACTCTCATTCACAAACCATGATAGTGTGTTAGAAATGGCAAAGTTGTTTTATGCCTTCAGATCTGCTGTATTTGCCACTGATATGGACTATGCAAGTTATATTCAGTTAATATATTGATACACATCGCAACGAAATAACACAAGAATTCAAAACTCACGTGCAAACAACTAAGTGTATGTTAATCAAGCAAATTACTAAACTGTAAAAAAAAATGAAAATTGCTTTCATAAGGGTGAATGTTAGAAATACATCAAATGCATAGTGATCTCGGCTTCATTGTTTGATCCAGCGCCGCGGAGTCAATGGGGCTGACGATGCTGCATCCCTCCCCTCATCATTTATGACTTCATTTATTTTCTTATTAATCTAATTTTTTACAAAACGAAAATAAATTAAAATTATATTTAATAGCCCAACTATTAGATATACAATAGCAATGTTATTAATGAATGGCTGGCGATATTAAGTGACAAACAACCCCCTCTGTATCGATTAAAAATGCAATAGCACCAGTCAACTGGTGATTTATAAAAATTATTTGCCTATGCGAGCACGCGTGTTGTTAGGTGTAAGCACAATTCACTTTTTGAACACGACTCCAGTAATATACATAAAATATATTTAAATATCTAAAGTGCGCCACGTGGCCTGTTCGTAATGTTATTATGTAGGTTTCAGTAATTACTTGAATTGATTCATGTAAGTTACGGAGTCACTTAACGAGTAACATTGGAATAAATTATGTTGTTGTCTAGATACATTCCAAGAACAGTAAGTACGCTGGACACACTGCAACGTTTTAATGTGTGTAGTTCTGTATCATTCAAGTTAATTGTGCAGAGAAGGGTAAAGTATAAACTAATGTTAGGGTAATTACTTTAGGTATAATATAAACCAGCTAGTTTGTTGTTGTTGTTGTTCAGTGCATGTGTTACTCTAGGGTGATTTGATTAAAGTTATATGCAAGTTTTTTGTATAATATATGTATTATATTGATATAGCGTGTGTGTAGTGCAGAAATAAAAAAACAACAAAAAGAAACATATTTTGGCTTGTGTTTTTGGATCCAAATAGCGTAAGTTCTAAAATCTGTCATAGCAAAATGAGCTTGAAAATGTTTTTACTATTAGAGGTAAACAAATATCCATATTTGTAAACGGTAGGTTATAAATATTTTTTTCCAAAATCTAATAAAATATATTCAAAAATTACTTAAGAAGTAAATATCACTGTCTGTAGATAGATATCGGTATTAAAATTTTAGCGATTAAAAGAGAAAGCGCTCTTTTACAAGTTAGAAGTAAATATTACTGTCTGTAGACAGATATCGGTATTAAAATTTTAGCGATTAAGAGAGAGAAGGCGCTCTATACAAGTTAGAAGTAAATATTACTGTCTGTAGACAAATATCAGTAGTAAAATTCTAGCGATTAAGAGAGAAAACGCTCTACACAAGTTAGAAGTAAATATTACTGTCTGTAGACAGATATCGGTTGTAAAATTTTAGCGATTAAGAGAGAGAAAGCGCTCTATACAAGTTAGAAGTAAATATTACTGTCTGTAGACAAATATCAGTAGTAAAATTCTAGCGATTAAGAGAGAAAACGCTCTATACAAATTATATCATTTGTACTTGTTAGGGTTTTAGGGTATACCCATGTTGAAGAAACAGAAATGTTTCAGCTCACGTTTTACTACCATATTTGTTTGTTTTGATTAAAAATAATATTAAGTTATTACGTGTATTTTGTGAAGGAAAAGAAACTCGCCTAATCTGACCGATTCATGTTACCATAGCGCTCATGGCGTAGTGACTGCGTATCGAAGGGCCCAGGGTTCGAGACGTGATATCTCTTAACACTTTTAGGTGGGGCGAGTTATAAAAACAGTTCAATTTCATAATGAAATTATAAAAAAAAAAGTCCGCCAAATGTCTTGAGGAGGAAGTTTCCGCTTATTGGCTGCCTTCCCTTTAGATAGTTCAAAATTAAAGCCAGCTATACCTAAGGGTTTCTGGTCTGTTCCTCACAAGTGCTATGATTACGGTTGAAGTGTTTTAATGCATTAAAATAAGTAATTGAATAATTAAAAAATCTCATGCTGAAAATGTATCTAAGTATTTACGGTGCTCCATAGATGGCGGTACTATAATATATTTGGAAAGGTTAATGTGATTTGAAATGAAATTTAAAAAAATCATATATCACATAATATAGTTAACTTCAATCTTTTTTTTTAATCTCCGTGCCGTTATTTTAAAATTTCGTTTGTTTTTGTTTTTTACGTAAAGCATACTGATTTTATTTTTTCACTATTCGAAATAAAGTGGATTTGTATTATTGTTTTCAATAGGGTAACGAAGTGGAGCCATTCTTGTTAAAATCTTGAGGAAGGCTACTGACATTGCAGTTGATGTACTCAGTATTTTAGAAATTATTTTTATACAATATAAAAAAGTTCCGAAGTTGAAGATGTCTTTTGATTTCATAAGTTAGATTTATCTCTAATTTCGCTGCTCAATGGGTGTCGTAGGAGTTTTATCGAACTGTGGAAGCTAAGTTTTCCTTCTAATGCTGTAAGGTATGGCATTGCCTGATGGTTCATTTTGTGATGCTTCTGCACATGCCTTGCACTTATAGTTGTGGGCGTGTTATAGAAGCCATATTCCCCCTTTTTTGCTTAAAGAGCTGGCTACAAGGCCGCTGTGAACGTTGATGCTGCCGACAGCCCTCACTTTGTTTAGATATAAAGAAGGCTATATATGAACCCTATGGTTTCTAATCTTGCCATCGCTTAAGTTGTCTTTCAGGTTGAACATTCCAATTTCTGGAATGCTACATTTATTTTTTACTCACTTGAGGACCTAAAACACTTTTCACGTACTTAGTCTGGTGGTTAGAACACTCAACTCACAATTTGCATGTCGCGGGGCTCAACTTCTAACACCGAACGTGCTCGTCCTTTCAGCCGTGGAGGTGTTGTAATGAGACGATCAGTCCCACTTTTCTCTGGTAAAAAAGTAGGCGGTGGGTGATGTTGACTAGCTACCTTCATTCTAGTCTATCAGTTCTAAATTAGAGCTGGTTAGCGCAGATAATCCTTGAGTAGCTTTGTGTGAAATTCAACAAACAAACATTAATTTTAAATTTAAGCATACACACCTACTGCAAGGCTTTCCGACTGGAAATATTTTATTATTATGAAATATAAAACCAAAGTACATGCTACTTATATTCACAGATGTATGTATATACATACACGATACAGTTTTTTATCATTTTAATATCAAACCTCAAGGGTAAAATATTGATTTGCTACGTGATCGTTTTGCACCAAAGAAATTTGTTTACTAATTTAAATATCCACTGAGGGTCAGCAACAAGTTTACTGACTTACAAAACTAAAATTCGGGATTTAATTCCCCGCGGTGACAGGGAGCAGATAGCCCGTTGTGTAGCTTTGCGCTAAAACAAACAACAACAAATTTTATTTTATGTTTGTGTGTGGTAGTTTTCAAAAGTCAAGAAATAAAGTGAGCGTTTGTTCTAGAATGGCCAGGTGGTTAAGGCACTCGACTCGCAATCTGAGGGTCGCGGGTTCGAATCCCTGTCACATCAAACATGCTCGCCCTTTCAGCCGTGGGGGCGTTATAATGTGACGGTCAATCCCACTATTCGTTGGAAAAAGAGTAGCCCAAGAGATGGCGGTGGGTGGTGATGACTAGCTGCCTTCCCTCTAGTCTTACACTGCTAAATTAGGGACGGCTAGCGCAGATAGCCCTCGTGTAGCTTTGCGCGAAATTCAAAAACAAACAAATTGTTCTAGAATCTCGCTTAAAGCAATCTACGCGAGCAGTCAGTCCCTAAGTTTTAAATGATATAAGATAGAAAAGGCAATAAGTCAACAGTACCAGTTGTCCATTCTTATACTACTATTATCAGAAGGAGTAGTTTGATTTAATTAACCATCATTATTGTAGTGGCCCCAAAGTGCGAATCGCGTTTTTGTGGCAAACGGGTCACTAACCGTGAATACTTGAGAGGAACGATAACCACGTGACAACGCCCTACATATAAAAGTGAACGTAAATAAGATGGATAACTTTATATGATATTTAATAATGATAATGAAATAAGGAGATATGCATAGACATGTTTGGAAAGTTCTATTATCGTACAATAAAAGCAGGTGATCGAAACAATTATCTTTAAAGATCAAAACAATGATTGCTTTTTGTTAGAAAAATTTTCTAAAGTATTGAAAGAAAATATATGAAGAAATAAGTACTTGCATAATTTTAATAGGGATAGAGTTTGTGTATTATTGAAACTAATTTGTTGAATTTCACTCGAGGATTATTTGCGCCAGCCGTTCCTAATTTAGAGGTGATAGACTAGACTTACTAGAGGGAATGCAGCTAGTTAACACCACCTACCGCCAGTTTCTGGGCTACTCTTTCCCAACAAACATTATAACGTCCCCACTAAAAGGGCAAGCATATTCGGTGACAGGATTGAGATATATGAACCAATGGCTATTTTACATAACGAGTCGCATGTGTGTAAGAGGCTATCTAAAACTGTAGACCTTGTAAAGAGTAATTACGAAACTGAGGATGGTAGCTTCTTTTTAAATAATTTCCAAAAACAAACATATCCTACTGTTGAAGTTTACTTTACAGATGTTGTCACTTTTTTCACCTAGATAACATATTTTTTGAAGTTGAAATCCTCAATTATGGATGAAATAGTAATTTGAAACGTGCAGCTAATAAGTACTTTCAAAATCTGAATAAAAAAAACGGTTTAGAGGGGGGGGGGACTTGATAGTTCAAATGTATTCTTTTTTATACAGAATATCTGAAATATTTATATACATGTGAGTAATAACATAAAACTATAGAACATTCGGGAAATTTTGTAATTTGTTTCCAAATTAAAATTCTGGATAATGATAGAAGCTTATACGTTTCTGTTCACTACACCCTAAAGATGCTTCTAGACATTACTGCTATAGTTATACATTTACCCCAGAACTGGTCTGATCTAATCGTGACCTAAACCGGTTAATTAACTGGCTGTATATATGGAACGAATAACACGTGTGTGTGATATTGTATCGCATTCTATTTACTTAAATTTCAAAAAATTCAAGGAAAGAACGCATAATCTCTGAATAAAAGTGTTTTTGTTTAATCAACACACAGATATCACAATTAAATCAAATCACTTCACTTAGTAATTTAAAATTAGCAGGCACAGATTTACTGTCGCAACTAGAAATGACACAGTAATGCTTCCTTGTATTTCAATACCCGTGGTGGGCACAAGTAGTCCATTGTGTAACTTTGTGGTTAAGAATAAAACAAACATTTTCCACACTTACAACGCTAAAATCTGGGGATCAATTCCCAGCGGTAGACACAGCAAATAGCCCAATGTGGCTTTGGTCTAAAACAAACAAACAATCTTTATATCAAAACATAAATTCATTCGAATTATATCAAGAGATAAAGCCCTAGGTGGCTCAGCGGTTTGAGAGCTTTAAACACAAAAATTTGATATTAAATATATGTCGTGAACATAGCGGTGATAGTTTGTTGCTTAAACAAACTCGAAGGTAAAAATATTAATAGGGATTCTAATAATCTGTATTATATTTTGTGATTCGTGGGATGTAAACAAACATTTTTCTGTTAAAATATTATAGTAAGTAAATCATTAACAATTTCTTTAATGTATAACAAATCATGAGAACAAATAGTTTAAATTTGTCTATGATAGTAGTTAGTTTTAAAAGAAACATATTTAACTCACCTTTTATAAAAGGCTTTATTTTAAAAATGTGGTTTAAATATTGTTTCATTTTAATGCAAGTTTTACCAATCTAAGAGCCCCCAGTGGCTTATCGGCAAGTCTGAAAATGCATATAGCCTACTGTGTAGCTTTGCGCTTGGTAACAAACAAACAAAATAACAAACATCAGTGTTCCAATGAGGCCTAAAAGCTGATTTAAACATCTCATATTATTTTTCTATCATA